GATTTGAGTTTCTAAATACGAGATTCGAAATTCGAGTTTCGAGATTCAACATTCAGACTAACCAATCAAAAGCGGGTTCAACAATTTGATTACTCCCCTTTATTATGTTTTTACTATCAAGAAATCGTTAAATATAATTATAATAAATGGGTCATTTGATTAAATTACAATGCAAGAAAGAGTGTTATGTATATTAGAAGGAAATTTAAATAAGTCGTGGATTTTTTATCAGCAAGGTATACTTTAATTTATATTATACTTCTTAAGTATTAAATAGATTACATATATCAGGAGTATATATATTTTTGTATTGTTGACTATACTTAATTTTATGTATTTCATCCATTACGGAAACCACAGGTATTGTGGACAGGAAACCCCCACCCCACCTCGATATTCAACCCCAGGGCTTATTGGACATTTTTTTCCACAAATTATATTTATTACACTTATTCATCATGTGTATAATACCAAAAAATCGCGGGCGTAAAACCCCCAGAATAATCGCTCAAAAAAAAAAAAAAAAAAAAAAACTATACATTACCCCACTATACAAGAGAGAATGCTGTTTAAGGAGATGGATTATTACGAGTTGTAGAGTCAGTTCGATAGCATGGACTAGGACATAAATATATGTAGAGACAGTGTGAATCGACATTTAAAGTTAAAATTTTATTGGTTTATTGGTTTTGATTGGTTAGTCTGGATCTTGAATCTCGAAACTCGAATTTCGAATCTCGAATTTTGTATTTGAAAACTCGAATTTTAAATGAGCCTTCTGGGCTTTCGTACTTTTACGATATACAGTGGAGCCTCATTTATCCGGACGCTTTGGTTCCCAGTTAATTTGTCCAGATATGTGAAGCGTCCGGATATCTGAATTACCAGTTAAACAAGATAAATAAGGTTTTAAAAATTCTGTTCCGATGAAAAATCGTCCGGATACTGAAGCATCCGGATATCTGGCGTCCGGATATCTGAAGGTTCACTGTAATAGTTATATATTTTCTTCAGCGCCATTTTATAATCGTCATATTCTTAGTCTGTTTTATATAGAATACACCATTTAATATTCGCTCTATATCTTTAAACATAGATTTTTTAACAGATTGATTTTTCTCCTCTTTTTGCTTTGATGTCTTTATAATTGAATTTGAATAGTTGGATTTCTTTTTTCGATCAATGTATAATATAAATAAATAAAAACACAAATTTAATTTTAAAGCAAAATTTTAATTCGATTTCTTAAACTTTGAAACATTTTTAAAACAAATTACACAGTTAAGATTGGTCATCAGATTATAGTTCTGAAACTATGAGGGGTGATCAAAAAGTTCGCGAATTATCTCTATATTAACAAAACTACGAATTAGATCAGAATGAAATTTGGCACACGTATAGTTTGGAACATGTTCCATAAGTAGCATATGAAAAGTAATGATTTTCTCCGTCATTGTGAAGTCACAATGTAAAAATGACGTCAATATGTAGGTGACTCGTGACGAAAAATGGTTGTCACAGTCTTACTCGAGCAACGAACTGCTGTAACATTTAACATATAACTTGGGAAATCCTTTGAAGTATCTTATAATAATTTGTACAAGGTTTATGTAGACAATAGACTTTCCAGATGTTCAATCATAAATTGAATTGACTGTTAAAGTGAAGGGAGGGAGATGTTTTGTACCCCAGCAAAGGCAAGCTGGGGGAAGAGATGTGTCCTTTGTTGGACAATTTGTTGTGAAAGATTGCGAAGTTACAGCTAGAAGAATAACTGAATATCTTAACAATGATATTATTATTAAATCCCTAAAATACTTTTTTACTTGAGACTTTAAACATATTAAATATGGTAAAAAGAAGGCTCATTTACTATATATTCATATTGGATAAACGACGTTCCAAAGACAAAGGATTGGGGTTGTAATGGTAACCATGCTCTATCTGGGAAATTATATTCATATCTAACCATCCGGGTTCCGAGATGTGGTCATTTCTGACAAATGGGCTGTTCTTTTTATAAAAAATTACTTGCATGGTAAGAAATATAAGACTGGGGAAAATATTTAATATATGAACAGAATGCTACAGAGCATGTCACGTGACCGCTGGAATCACGTAATTCGCGCATGGGCAGAACGGTGGCAGATATGCATTCAAGTCAGAAAGGGCTATTTTTAAAAAAAAAAATATGAACACTGAAACCTAGTTTTTTTGTTTTATGGAAGTTATTCAATTTGTTCGCGAACTTTTTCAACACCCCTCGTATAAATATGTAATAAAGGCAACTTCAATATGATTTGAACATTCATATTGGTTTAAATATAAAAAAGATAAATATAACAAAACATTTACAAGTTGAACGAACGCTGTATATTAAAGGCCATTACAAGTTAAAGGAACACTGAATATAACAAGCCCATTACAAGTTAAACGAACGCTGTATATTACGAACCCAATAAAATATATTCAAAGCTATGTTTCCTGCTATTAAAGATATTTTTATATCTTCGTTATGTATAAACTTTCGGTAAGGATTACTATCTGTTTACATTTTTGACTGACTATGAAAAGGAGGGCTCGGTAGGTGTGACTGGTCGACAGGGGATGCTCACGCTTCCACGGCAATTGATCTCGGCTCAGATGTCATAGAAGTCTCTGATTGCTCTGCTCCAAATCTGTGTTGTTCTAAAGGACTTTTGTCCTTGATAACTGTTCGTTATCTTTAAATTTCATTATGTAACCTTTAGTACACGAATATTAAAACTACATTTTATATATAAATGAGATAATTATTTAATAAATATTAAAGTAAATTGAAAGGGGGAGAGGGTCCAATTTTTCCAAAAATTTTATTTATCGTAGCATCAATTATCTGAAATTATCAATAAGCAGAAAATTCAAAAATTGGTTTAAAAGTAAAGATTGAACGATAAAAAGGAGACCAGTTTGCTTTAAACCGAATTGATAATCTGAAAAAGATATTTTAATGTTATTTCTTGTTATTGAGCATTTACACATTGTAGTTTTTTGACTGGCTATATGTTCAAAGTGCTTTTTAATGTTGACGAGAATCATTTTGTTTTTGACAATAAAGAAGGAAATAAAAGGAGCAAGATGATTCTCCATTAATATTAACCTCTTTCTATGCCCCCGTTATTGGGGACAATTAGTTTTTGGTATGTCCGTCTGTCTGTCTGTCTTTCAAACCATCAGGAAAAACTTTAACCTTGTCCATAACTTTTTAATACCAAGGGTTTTTTTTTATTTTTATACATGTGCATTCTTTGTAACATTGCTCTTCTTTGGGAAGCACACAATTAACTTGTCAATTTTGCCAAACTTTATCATTGGCATTAGATTTTTAGCAGTCGGTGCAAGGGTTCTTATATTTCGCGAGTACTTGTATAATATATCATGTGACAAACCTTTTTTTATCTACTTTTTGACTTTGGTTTTGTGAATTGTTCTTTATCTTGAAAAATAAGTAAACATTTGCCATATTTTTACACATATTGAATATCTATATGTCAAGCGAATAGCCATTTCTTAAGGCCATATTGTTCCACTTTTTGACCTTTGAGTTTTACCTATATTTATGAAAACTCATCTTGACTAAACTTTTTAAACGGTTGTTGCTATGACATTTATATTTCAAATAAGTATTCAATGTCAAGATTATAAGACGTATTCTTTGATACCATTTTTACCCATGAATTTAAACCATCGACAATGTCCTACTTTTGAAATAAAAACTTTTGATCCTAGAGTTTAACCTACATTTAAAAAAAAAAATAACCTTGGCTTTGAGCTGCCTTACGGGGGCACAAAATTTCACAAGCAAATATAATTATTATAATTTATAAAATTTAGACTTGTTAAAAAATTGAATGTAAATGAGGAATATTCAAATAGAGCTTGACTACAATGGAAAATAAATAAATAGAAGTTATAGAGACGGTGGCTTCTTACAACAGATATGTCTTCAATCACAAGTATGCTTTGATGATAAGCAGCACAAAATCGGAGAAGCTTTGTTTTACTAAAGTGTAAGCCTCAGGGGGTAGACCCTCAGTTACTTCAGTTAATAAATGTTGGACATAAATTACAATTCTTATAAATTGTTTGTGTTATGTCCAGTTGCAGCTTTCGTCCACTGAAAAATTCTCATTACTTTTGTTACTTCCCTCTACTTCTCCTCATCAAAGCTGAGAAAATTTGGCTGTATGGAAAAGTATCTAAAATGAAAAAAATATGAAATCTAAATGTAGTAGTTTTAGAATAGCTGCATATATTGCAAAACAAAATTTTTAGACTTATTTTGACGTTTAGGCATTAAATCGTCATGCAAAAAATGAGTGGTCATTTGATCATTTACGTTATAATTTCTTTTTATAAGAAAAGATTTACAGTGAGAGAGGGGGGGGGGAGGAAAGGTAGAGAGAGAAAAATGAAAGAGAGCATTTCTTCGATGTATTAACGTATTTCGATGTATATTATTTAATGCTAAATGTTATGTCAAAGTTATCGAAATTTGAAAGCGAATATATTTTTTGGGTTTGTCTGTCTGCCTATTTGTTAGGGGTGGGACGATACACAGATCTTGCGATACGATACGTATCTCGATATATTGGCACGATACGATACGTATCTCGATATTTTGATATATTATAAAACTATTTTTAAAAATAAGTATTTTTTTCATTTCTTGTCTTGTCATTAAATCAACATGATAAATTATAAAACTATTCAAAAGAATTAGTACTTTATTTCATTTTTTGCCTTGACATTAAATCTACAAATTATTCTATATCAAATGATGTGTGCTTTGAAATTAATACTTGAAGTTCATCAATACGTATCATTCACTAAAATTTTACAAAAACAAAAATACTACATATTATTACCAAATTACTTTTAAGAAGTTGTTTACAAATAGAACTTGTGTAGTTCAGCAGAGAACACTGACTAAAATTTATTTAAAAACATCACAATTACGTTTTTATTAAAATTGCTGAAAGTCTGTAGCAAAGCTGAGATTACAAAAAAAAAATACGAGATGGACTAACAATTAATAATGTCAAATGCTCTGGAAACGATGCTTTCTGTGTAAAGCACGCATTACATACTGAACTTTTCTTGTCCAAATTCTTCCGAGGCTGTTTAAAAGTGAAAACATTTTACCCCTAAACAACGACTTATTAGTTCTAAAGTGTGTTTTCAATAATCAACATCATCTCTTCGCGTACACGCCGCCATTTTCCAAGGACATGTACTTTCATTTTCAATTTTTGGATAGGTCGTTCGTGTATCATTTCGTACCGATATTTGAATGCTTGTATCGTAAACCGTATCTTAGAGAAAAATATCGATATGTATCGGTGTATCGGTATATCGTCCCACCCCTACTATTTGTCTGTCTGTTTAATTACAAAACTTAAACACATTAACTTTAAATGTTTGAAGAACGGGCTTTCATAGTATCCTTGTCCGCTTTCATAGTATCCTCAGGACAAGACCTTTTTGTACCATCATTATTTGACTTCTTGACCTTGGATTTTTTTTTTCAAAAACTTACCAACATCTACCCTTGGCCTTAACTTTTGAACAGTTGGAGCTAGTCCTTTTTATATCTCGAGTAAACTTTATGTGTCCAGATCATTATTGAAGAACCAACATTTTTATCTTTATTTTGACTTTGAGTTTGACTTACTTATATGCAGAACTTTAATCTTGCCAATAACTTTTGAAAGGTGAGTTTTAAGACTTCCATCACATTTTTTTTGTGATAAGATCTTTTTTTCGTAACCTTCATTTTTACCTCAAAAGCTTGACATCGGAGTTTGCCATACTTCAGAAAGAATTTAACCTTGCCAATACGTTTTGACAGGTTGCTGCTACTGCTAGGGAATTCATATTTCACTTATTCTTTTCTTGCGACAAGACATTTTCTTTAGTACCCTTTTCTACTCATGATATTGAACATGAGGTATGGCCTACTTTTTGAAAAAAATCTAACCTTGGCCATATTTATTGAATAGTTGTTGCGGAGCTCATATTTGTATTTCTTTTGACAAGACCTTTTTGTGTATCAGCATTTTTGGATTCTTAACCATGGAAAGTTTCTTACATTTGGGACATGGTAACTTTGGCTTTGAGCTGCCATAATAGATAGTAAATCATTGTTTCACAAAAATCTTTTTTAGATGAAAAGAAACCAGTATACAGAGCTAGTAGGATGTGTAATTTTTCAAAAAACCTTCAGGTATTTCAGAAATGAAGTTGATCACCTTAATTAAGCGAAAATGATTTCATTAGCTGTTTGTCCTTAGAATCTAATTAGAGAAACTGCAAGTGTAAGTTTATAGAAATCAATATTCATGAACTTTAACTTTTGCGTAGCTGAGTTTTTTTTTAAATAATTACTTCAATTTTAGCTGAATGAAAAGATATACAATGAATATGGTAAAAGGTTTGCTTATTAACGTTTTCTTATTAGTAAATTGCAAAATATCAATACATCCTATGGGATCAAACTAGCCCTAGCAAAGAATTATCACCGTACCAGCTACTATTTTCAAATACGGGTTTGGGATTTTGAAATATAAAAAGCTTTACATTTATTTTGTTTCTTATTCCGAATTTTGGCAAATAAACATAACAACAACAGGCAAAATTAAATATTGAATAGTTTGTTTATAGAAAGTTGTTGATATTCAATAAGATCTGTAGATTTTAGTAATTGTTAAGCAGTTTTTACTTTTTCTAATATCAAATTAATTTTTCTTTTAAAAAAATCATTATTCAGATTATATTGATCTGTATACTTACTACATGCCCCACATTTCAGGGGACAGAACTCTTCGAACATTTCTCTTTCCTCTGGATATGGCGAATTACACTCGGCCTCAGTCACTTCCTCGCAGATGTCCCAATTTTCATACATGTTTTGATTCTTACATTCCTCTGTCAAAAATTATACATACATGCCTATTATCTAAATCTATCAAGATATTACATGTACAACGATTATAAAACTAAAACTATTCATTAATTCAATGACTGAATTTCTTACCGTCACAATTCGGACCCATTCCAGAACTACAGGTACAAGTACATGTACTGTTGTCTAGAGTTCCTTGGCCTATCAAGGGTTTATTACAAGTCTTTCTGCAGTCTAAAACATTAAATTTTAAGATGTTTTAGCGAAATACATCATAATATATGCCTGATTTATCTATTTAAAAGGCAAACTAAATTTTAAAAGTACTTCGATTAATAGAAGTTTTTTGTAAAAGAATAACTTACCGCAACTCTCTGTAGTTGGGTTACACGCAACTGTTAAATAACAAAAAAATGTTATATCAGGTATCTTAAATATATCGAAATCAATTACTATCTTACGCAAAAAAATTTAAATAGTTAAAAACATTAAGAAAAAATATGGTACCACAAAGCCCGTTCTCACAAAAGGCAGCCTCGTCGGAACACTTTGTACAGGGGGCGCCTGGTTTGTACACCGGGGGATACTCAGCGCTGTCAAATATAAGATCCCTCAATAATTTCCTTAATCAATTTCAGAATCATTTAATAAATTAACCAAAGAATATATTTTATTTTTAAGTTTCATTTTTCCATTTCGGTATTAGAAGAAAAATTAACCCCGAGTTAAAGATCCGAAATAACATACAAATGTACTTAGAATTACTTAGGTCATAATTTTAAGTAAGTCTAAAGATTTTTAAAAATTAAAAGAAATCGTGAACAAAATATAACCGATGTATAGATTAGCTTGTCCTGGGCGTATTGACTTACCCTCCCTCGTACATGCAAAGCAGTTTAATTTTACCACTGCATCTTTTAATTGAACACCCTATGGAATGGTGGCCTGCATTTATCATCTGTGAGATATGATTAATAAAAATGTAAATAGTATAAATAACTTGAAATGTTAATGAACCATGATAATTTCTTTTACTTTTACTACAAAACATTCGTTTTTACCTGTATACTCAAAATCAAATTCCGTGGTGAATGTCTTTTAATAATTATTTTTATGATTACTGTAGAAACTGTATTTAAGTAAATCATTTTCAGAGAAAATGAATAGACTTTAACTGACCGTTAATATATTGCTACATGGAGAAGAATCCAAACAAGATGCCTCGTAAGGAAACAAATGTTGAATTTCCCGAAACCACTCGTGAATAATGCCACTTAATGACGCACCTTGTCCTATATTCACAGTTAAACTATTTTGAAACAAGTCTGAATTTTCTGAACTACACTGTAAAATTTCAGAGGTATGCCTTTGTAAAGATCTACTCCATGTCTGAAATTAGAAAATAAAACTTAAAGACAGTCAAAGTGCGGAATACAGGAAGCTCTATAGATATTATTCATTCTTATTACTTGTTAAAATAAATGCATTTTTTTTCCCAGAAGATAATAATTATTTTGATTATATGGCTTTCTATGTCTAGCGTAAAATCACGAAAGATGTGTAAGAAAATGCATGTAATTGACATGGGTAATTTTCAGAAACATATTTCCTTATCCCCAAATAATAAAATAAGAAAAAGCTTTGAAATTTAAAGAAAATAGAGAAAAACCTTAATGCATGAATAATTTCACTTGATGTAAGTCATGATGTGACATATTTCTGAAGAAAACAATTATTGAATTTTAAAAATGTTTTCGTTCTTTGTGTAGCGAAGAAACAGGAGGCCAAATGGCATAAACAGTCACATGAATATTGCACAACACTAAAGATTCCCTAAAAGAATAAACTGAAACGAAATAGATTGTCAGATGAAGCTATGTTACTCAAAAACTAAAATAAGTGGATGATATGGGACATGATAATTAGTTTCGTACTCAGTAACAAAAATGTGTTATTGTCATTGGTCATTTGCAAAATCATTTTCTAAAAATACATTCTGAATGTTCACACAAGTACTCTGAAGTTGATATTGAATGACTTTCTTATTGACAAAATTTTTGTGGTTTTTGGAGGCCAGGTCTTCCAAAAATCTATTGGAATTCTCCTATTGCGCCCAGTTATTAGTAGACTTATTTTTGTATTCATGTTCAAAATCTTATACGTGGGAAAAACAAAACACTTGCCGTGGCCTTCAACTTGACATTTAAATGTATCGACGACGTATATTGTCACTTAACAATGGTTATTTCCATTCTTACGTCGATACGATATATTCCGGTGAGCTTGAAACAAATGACACTACAGAGTCTGACAACTCCGTCTCATATTTAGATATTTACTTGAAAAAGACGTTAATGGTTATCTAACAACCATACTTTATCATTAACGTGATGAATTTAACTTTTCAATCTTCAATAATTTCCCTTACTTATGCAGCAATATACCTTCATCACCTGCATACAGAGTTTATATCTCTCAGTTGGCTCGATACTTGAGAGCATGCTCCATGTGCCAACATTTTCTAAAACGAGGTAAATTATTGACAAACCAGTTGCTGAAACAAAAATATCAGCAGTCTCGTTTAAAGTCATCATTTCGTAATTTAAGTTCTATAGCCGATGCAATGACCTCGTCAGCAAATATAATTTATTATAAAGTCAAATGCTGACTGACGTTTTTCATACTGTTATGCCATTACATACGCAATAATTTGTCAACGGATTTTCACCATCATGACAGGGAGCACAAGGCAGGTGTTACCAGTGGCAGGGGATGCTCACTCCTTTTATTATTATGTTCCCCAAACGAAGTTGGGGAACATATTGTTTTTACTCTGTTTCTTATTATTATTATTCTTATTATTTTTCTTCTTCCTGGGAAAATTTTGTCCACGAGTGATCTTGTAAACTACACATCCGACTTAGGTGAAACCTTTTTAGGGTTAGTAGGCATGTTATGTAGAGTTGCCAAACAAAGGTCATTTTGCGCGCACATGCTTGCAAGAGCGCGCACGTGCAATAGGTGAAATTACCAATAGAATGGATATTGCCGTAACTTTTCAATTTTTTGATGAATTTTTTTGAAACTCATAATGTAAGGATACATTAGTAGTATAGACAAGATAGCATGGTCAAAATAGCAAGATCTCACGCGCATGCACGTGCGCTTCGCTCTGATTGGCTGAAACTAAAGTCTCAATAACTTTCTTGTTTCTTGTCATAATCCTTTGAAATTTTGAACATAGTCCTACATTATGAAGATCTACCGCACGATATATAAGAATTTTCATGAAAGCATGCGCATGTGCGCGTGCTGCAATCTGATTGGCTGAAATTTTAAATGGCTATTTCTCCTTTGTTTTTTGACGAAATTCTTTGAAATTTAAAATATAGTCATGCATTAGGATATCCTACGAAATGATATAGAAAAAAATCATGAAATCACGCGCATGCACGTGTGCTGCAATCTGATTGGCTGAAACTTTAAATTGCTATTTCTCCTTTGTTTTTTGACGAAATTCTTTGAAATTTAAAATATAGTCATGCATTAGGATATCCTACAAAAAATAATGAAATTACGCGCATGCATGTGTGCTGCAATCTGATTGGCTGAAACTTTAAATGGCTATAACTCCCTTGTTTTTCAACCAAACAGGATGGGATTTAGAACATAGATAGATGTAAGGGACTCCTACAAGAAGGTATGATCATCATGCACGTGCACGCACGTGCGTGCATTTGAAACGAGTATACTTAAAAATACTCTTGAATGAGTGATTTTTATTAATTTTGGACTGAATGCTTTAATATATAGTATATTAAAATATATAAAAAGTGTAGACAAGATGATTTGGTCATAACGCACATGCATTCACATGCACTTGGGTGCAATGCTAAAAATTGAATATAGTTGGTATCCTTCTGGGAAAACGTTGTTAAAGTCAAAAATGCACAGAGTTTGTCTTATTTAATGAAGCTTACAGGGAATATGGCACCGAAAGGGAGTTGGGGAGCGTTTGGGGAACATCTGTAACGGTTCCCGTTACAATTAGCACTAGTTGCATATGGAATAAACATTCTAGCATTTCATGCAATGGTGTCAGACACGTCTTTGTGTATCACAATGAGACTAGCTTGTGCCTCTGTGATTTTCATATTGTAAACAGTTTCATCAGATGAGATCGATAACTGTTCGTTATCCCTACCCTTTCTCATTTGACGAATTTCAGCAGAATTAAGAAAGCTTTCATTTGAAATGTTGGTTAACTTATCACCCTCTTATGACCTTCATACATACACATACTTTGAATGAATTTCAAAGCTTAA